TGTATGTGGCTGGAGCCTTAGCCGCTTGAGCCACAGCTGCCAAGCCATATTCCACCATCCTTTGAGGCTGTGCCATATTGCCATACCATTCTCTACCACTCCCCATTGCCATCATCTGCTAACTGCCTGGTCACTTCTGTCATCTATGGACAGTTGTGCACTTGAGTCTTGATATTCTCTGGGTGTCTCTAATGGCTCTAATGTGGATGATTCATTCAACACCCTGGAATTATAGTTTCATCAACCTCTACAACAAAAATTATACTCATCTTAATTCACTCTTTGGTTATGCCATAGACCTTGTGATAATACAAAACTTTCCTACCTGCGAACTTTAAACTCTGGTACATTGCTTTTTGTCTATAGCTAACTTTAGCTCTTTCATGATCTTCAACATCTTCAAGATCTACAATCTGCCAATTCCTTTTTTGTTTCATTATATTTTGTTTCCAGACTTGGTGATTTGACCCATCACTTTCATCAGTCCTATCTTTCTACTGTACTTTGCATTTAAACCTCATCCCTGAATTAGTCAATACATTTAACCTCTCTATTCCTACCTAGGATACTGAACACAGCTGGAAAAAATTACACTGTCATGTATATAGATGACAAACTACAAACTCTTGTCCTCTGAAATTACCCAGGCTCTTAATGCCTCTTAACAATCTTTCTGTTTATCCTTAGTCCCATTCCTGTTTTCCTAATGGCTATACCACAAACCCCTCCCATGCTACCCATCCCCTCATTTTTGGAAGGGTTATGCTTCCTTTCTAACTTTCATTAATCAGGTAAAATTCCTCCTCAGTTTCCTTCCCTCCCATCTACAAACTTACCTTCATTTCTTTCTAATCTATAGAAGACGTGAGCGTCCTCCCTTTGATGACCAATCTTTAAGTTGTGGTTTGGATGCCATCTCTTCCTGCAGTCTCAAGCACTTTCTTCCATCAGTTATTTCCCAGCCCAAGCTTTCTAATGACTTTTTTCTTTAACGCTTAAGCCCTCTAGTCTTAAAAATAAGATAAAATACCACCCTCAACCTATGCCACTCTTTGGTTAGTATTTCCTTCTACAAAGTGCATCTTTTGCCATCTCCATCTCCAAGAATTTTTTATTATGTTGTTTCATGATAAATGCCTTCATGCCTCCTGTTCCTGCTCTGAGAATGTTCTTCCCCCTTCTTTAGGAAGCTAACTCCTACACATACTTTAAAAATTAGTTAAGACATTTGTTCAGGAAGTCTTGATTTAAATGCTTTTTCTCTGTGCTCTCAGGGAATCATGTACATACTGGAAGTGGAAGGCACCACTTACCACCTAGATTATAATAACTGATTCTCTCATCTGTTTTCCCCGTTAAAATGTCAGGTTCTGGAGGATAAAGATCATACCCTAATTTGTATTACCATCACCCAAGAAAATGCCTGCAACATAGAAGGCACTCAGTAAAAGTTTATCAAATAAATAAAGGAGCCAATGAATGTCTCCCTAGCTACCTATTACATACTGAGACTAGTGAAAAATATTGAACTGAAATATCTACGAATATATAGTATCTGCTCATCCATGCAGGTAGTGATGTTAACTAAAAAATTATAGTAATAAGGAAATGGAAAGCTCTTTCAAGTAAGGCCTTAGACTCTTAAAAGGTACTTTTTTTAATGTTGTTATCATGTGTCTAGTAGTAATTACTCGCTAGTTATTAATCTGCTTTGGGATCAGGATAGCTAGTACAAATTATTTAAGCAGATTTGGTTTTAAACAATATGAATCGCTTTATGAATTATAAAAGAGAAATAGTACTCACTCCTTGTAAAGTTATGTGAAGTTATTAACTGTTACTCTGTCATTCTAACATCATACCTTTATGAACTTTATGGTTGACAAAAGCACACTAGTAGTGTAGAATTTATTTGCATCAGACTGTTCTTGAATTATATCTACAAAAATAAACTCTGTGTATGGATACAAGATTTTTTGAAGTTTATTTTATTTTGTTCAAACATTAGTAAAATAAGAAATTTAAATTATAATTAAGAAGCAGGTGTAAAACCTACTTTATTGGGCACAAATGGTGCTCGATGAATCTTCTTCTATAGCCAGTAGAAGGGGGGGTAGAAAGCATTCGTATCACATTGAAATACAGTCTTTTGCTATTTAGTTATATACTTAAATTGTTGGCTAGAGAAAAAAGATAAAATCAATCATAATTTTTAGTAAAATGAAATTAATTGCACAGGATTGGTGAGTGTTTAATTTGACTAATTAAGTTTTTGTTCCATTTTATTATTTTGCATAATACATTTATATGTTCCATGCTCTCTGTATACACACACGCAAGAAATAATGCCCATGGTTCAAACTTTATGATATATTAGACTTAGAAAAATAATTCAGGCTCAGCGCCTATAGCTCAACCGGCTAAGGCGCCAGCCACGTACACCTAAGGTGGCGGGTTCGAATCTCCAGCCCGGACCCGCCAAACAACAATGATTGCTGCAACCAAAAAATAGCCGGGCGTTGTGGTGGGCGCCTGTGGTCCCAGCTACTTGGGAGGCGGAGGCAGGAGACTCGCTTGAGCCCAGGAGTTGGAGGTTGCTGTGAGCGTGATGCCACGGCACTCTGTCCAGGGGGACAGCTTGAGGCTCTGTCTCAAAAAAAAAAAAAAAAAAAAGAAAAATAATTCAACAAATTGTACTTAGAGAAATTTCCTTATTCACAGATTTTTAATTTATTTTTATGATAATTAAATATATGACACACCAAAAATAGATATCCAAACAAAACTTAAAAAATCTTTTTTTTTATTAAATCATAGCTGTGTACATTAATGTAATCATGGAGTACAATGTGCTGGTTTTATATACAATTTGAAATGTTTTCATCAAACTGGATAACATAGAAAAAATCTTTTTTTGTATTACTCTTTTTTCCAATAGGTTTAACATTGACTGTCCTTCATCAAAATGAAAGAAAAGATTTTCAGAAATCTGAAAGTGTTCTGAAAGGGTAAAAATTTATTTGTTCCTCTGTGGAGCGCAAACATACCAGTTCCACAGAAAAAAGAAAATTCTCTTAGAATTTAACTTAAAAAGTTAAACAAAACCTGATATTAATATCGCTATCCTCTTCCTGAAAAATGCTTTACATAGAACACTTTAACTCATGTCATTGCTTTATGTATTATACATGTATCTTATTAGCGTGCAGAAATTTAGTCCAATCTCATTTTGATATCACCAAATTATCATTATTGTTGTGGTTAGTACAGGAGCACCTATTTAGATTTACCCTTATCTTAACCAGTTTTTTTGCTCAGAGTTGGTTTTTATATCCCCTTTCTTCTGGGTTGTTCTTCCTGAAGTACAACTTGTAGAAATTTTTTCAGTGAAGGCCTTCTAATAATAATCTAATATTGATTTGTCTTTAAAAAGTCTTTATTTTGTCTTATTTTACATAAATTAGAAATTATTTATTTTTAATATTGGAGTCCAAATAATAAAAAAGATATAAATCAAATAGAAGTAAAAAAATAAACGGATATAAGTACTTTTTAACTTCTAGATTGCTCTAAATAAAAAGCAGTGGTAGAGAGTTTTAATTATAGTAGGTGATATGTTATATGAAATTTCAAGAGAGTAAAACTAAACTTAACAATATTTATATCCATCTTTTTGTTATTAAATCATTTATGTAAGCCCATTTCAAAGTTGTCAGGTAATATTCTACTATATAGATTCTCAAAGATTTAGACCTTACATTTGTAAGAAAATGAGGTTGATTTCTCATGCTAATTTCTGTTATTGATAGAACAGAACTCAACTTTATTATTAACAGAACTCAACTTTATTATTACTCAAATAATAAAATCAGAGTTTCTCTCATTTTAGGATATGAAATAATCTACAGTTTTTTTATATCCTAGTATAAAACAATATAGTTATTGAAAAGAAAGATATATAGAAATTAACATAACTGAAGAGCAAGATCAGCAGAAAATGCACCAGTGCCTTTCCACAATGAGTAGGCATAGATTACAGAATAGAACAGCCAAACATAGTCATCTTTTAGCATTTCCAGTAAATAACAACACAAGAATAATTCCATTTTCTTGGCTTTCTTTTGTCTTCAGTACAAGTTCCTGTGTAGTTGTGCATAATCAATATATTGGAGCAGATTTCCCCTGGAATGATTTCTCATTTGTGGTGGAATACAATTATGTGGAAAACTCTTGTTGGACTAAACACTGTGAAAATTTGAATATTCCTTACATAGCCTTTAAAGTGATTCTTCCAGATACAGTTTTACAAAGTAAGGATAAACCAAAATCTTTTTTTTTTTCATTAGAATGAAAATTTTCTGTTTACAATCTATGGAAAGAAAATAAGCTCTGGTGTTCATTAGGAGACTTGAGCTCAACCTCTAACCCCACTATTATCTGTGTAACCTCTTACCTCACATTCCTCATTTATAGAGTAAGTTTTGCTAATTGTATGTCTTCATTCCTTTAACTTCTAAATTTTACTTATAGTAGCACAATTTTATTACAAGTATATTCATGACTTTAATCTGCTTTTATGCACTATAAATGCATACTTTAATTTTTAGGGAAATATGTGTAACAGTATGTTGACTGGTTCAGAAAACCTTAACATGAAAAAAATTGGTATGCATGGATAGCGCCTATGGCTCAAAGGAGTAGGGTGCCAGCCCCATATGCTGGAGGTGCCAGCCCCATATGCTGGAGGTAGAACCCAGCCCCGGCCAAAAACTGCAAAAAAAAAAAAATTGGTATGCAGAAAAATTGCATATAAATAGAAAAAGCCTAAAATCACTTCATATATCACTTGATTTATTTGTAACAGTTCACATGACTAAGACTGTGAATTCCCAGATTGATAAATCTCATACATTTTTTATCCCAGCATGACTCTCAATAGTTGCTATAAATTATTTTCTGTCCACCTCAAATATAAGTGGGAAGTATAGCAGCCTGGATAGCCTATGGCTAGGAGGAGTGAGAGTTATAAATAACACCTGTACAGCTCAATATTGGAACACCTTGATGAAAAGGGTATGGGGAGAGATTTAGCTCTCCTCATAAGCGTGAGAGAGCTCCCAAGATGAGTGTTAGTGAATTGGCACTGGTGTTAAGAGCCACTGGATTGTGTCTTTAAGAGGCTAGAGGAAAGGCAGTTGGGAGGTCTCTGTGCTGAAGGTTACTAAGCTTTTCTAAAGACTGCTAAGACTTATTCTTCTAAGAGTGCTTCACCCTCAAAGACTCTCTCTCTCCCTTTCCCTTCTGCTAAAGTAAATAGCCCTCAGGCACCTAAGAGCAATTGTTCCTGAGCGAGATAACAGCACAGAGTGTCTGGAACCTAGATAAGCCTGGGCTGGAGACCAACCAGTCCCGGGCCCTGATAAGTGGCATCCACTAAGGGGCCCCGACAGGAGGTCTAAATAGATTCTGAGCATTCCAAATCAATTCTAAAACTACAGTCACCAAATCGTTTCTTTGGAAATGATCTTTTATTTGACCTTTTTTACAAATTATGTGTTATATCCTTTGCCCATTTATCTATTGAGGTATTTATTTTTTTCTATTGATCTGTAAAATGTTTTTTCCTGTGGGTTACTGTATGTAATTTTAAATTTTGATGTAAAGCAGCATATATTTAGCAAATGTTCACTATACACTTATATAAATAAAGCAGGTTTCAACATTTCAGGTAGAGAATGACCCTGTTTTTCCTTTTTCTTTTTTTAAGTGAGTGTACATGTGTGAGTATAAGCAAGTAAATAGAAGTCTGGAAATATATACAAAACTCTGTTTTGGGTGTATAACAGTTCTAATAAACTCTATTAACTTTTATTCTAGGTAGGATAATGTGGTTTTCATTTTCTTCTTCAGATCTTTCTTCTGTGTCTGATTTTTTACACTAAATATTATTTTTATACTACTGCTTGAACATACATGTATTATTCTAATGTTTAAAAAAAAGAAAGAGCTGGAGAATTAGAATAATAGAAAAATATAATTTTCTTTTATTTAGGAAGCACCTTGCTAGACAGATTTGGTGGTTTTCTTCTGGACATTCATATTCCATATGTATTTTTTGCATCTGAAGGACTTCTTAATATTCCAGACATACTTCAGCTGTTAGAATCTAAGTAAGTTATTGACTTTATAACTTTAGCAGAAGCGTTTAATGTGTGTGTATGTATGTGTTCTGATAAGTTAAATATTATGCTCCATAAGTAGCACCATATCTCTCTGTTCAAGCCTGGAATTATATCATATAAGAATAATTTTCCAGAAAGTATATATCAATTTATAATCTTGCCCTATATCACACCTTCATAATTACTGAGTATTATCTTTTTTGATAATATTTTATCCATTCATGGATTAAAATGATATTTGTTATTTAAATTCATATTTTACTTACCTTTCTTTTGTGACCTACAAATATGATCACAATGTGCTTTTTTTTCTGTGAATTATATGTTCATATCTTTGGGCTATTAGTAATATTGAGTATGAGTA